CGGGATTTAAAAAGTATTAAAAGAAAAACAATATCTGTATTTTCACTATAAGTAAAAGAATGTAATCATGTAATGACTACAGATTTTTTTAGCCAAATGCTTGAACCATTTTCTAAAGAGATGTTTTAAACATAATATCACAGAAACACAGTGGTTTTTTTTACACCATTTTTTTTTTAGACGTACCCGTCTGTCAAAGGTAATTTTAGCCCTTGCTCCAGTTGCATAATAGTTTTTTTTTTAAGTAGTTTGTATCCTTATTATTTGTCAGAAATTACTTCTTTGTTTGCAGAGCCTCTGCAGCTCCTCAGGGGAGCAGTGTAGGTTTGTGTGTGCTGTGACCCTCCAACTCACCCGAGTTAAAGGAGGGAAGCAACGTGGATAAGGCAGAGGGAAAGGCAAAACAAAACTTTCTGATTACCAAGAAAGATTGTCATCCTTTTCCCTAAATCCTCCATTGAATTTTCTATTTTCCCTCCCAGGAAAGCATTTAAAAGACAATCTATAGGAAGTGTGTAATTATCTTTTTCCTAATGTATTTTCTAGGCATTTCTGTTTCTTATGGCTTCGTGTTTTTCTTTCTGTTCCTTTGGGTCTTTTAGCTATAGCAGAACCAGGAAATTTAGAGAGTATGTTAGACTGGAGTTCCAGTGCAGGCATCAACAATCTTTGCCTGTAAATAAAGGGCCAGATAGTAAATGTTTTTAGCTCTGTGGGTAATGCAGTCTCTATCATAACTACTTAACTCTGCCATTGTGGCACAAAAGTGGCCATATACAATATGCAAATGAATAGAGTAATTATATTCCAGTAAACTTTATTTATGAAAGCAGGTGGCATGGCTGGATTTAGCCCATGAGTCATAGTTTGCCAACCCCTGGTCTAATGTATACTGCTTACTGTATTTGGGTCTCATGACGATATCAGAATCAAATTTACAAGGAACATGTTTCTACAATGGTGGGAAAAAGAAGTCCCTGGAGTTTTAAGTTGGTTAAATTACCCAACACCACTTATTTCCTTTTCTCATAGGGGCTGCATGACAAAGAGACAGGATATAACATTACATAAAACCAGGTCAAATTTATTCTCAGTTCTCAGAGATGGCAGTTTGCATATACTTCTGAGTGCAAGCTCCTCCCGTCCTTTTAATTTAAAGATACGTAAGTGATGCCGCACATTGCCAGATTGCTCACTGCAACAACTGAATGCCATTAAAGAAAAAAAAAATCTGATTTTCAACAGAGCTTCTGAAGGCTAGGTGGTAAAGGCACCAGGCAGGTGAGTGTCTTGCTAAATGATAAATGAGCTTTGATCCTCATATTTTTTAGAAGAATGTAGGTACACTAATACCAATATTCTATAAAACTACCTACTTCTGATGATAAATTCTTCTGTGTCACCTCACTGGTAGTGCTATGTCCCTGCCATTTGTAATAATCTAGTACTGTAAGCTACTGTCAGATAAATATTCACACAAGCTCACTACTTGTTTTCTTCTGAAAGAACCTGTTAGCCATCATGCTTTAGACAGACTCAAATTTAATGCATCCTTTAAAAAATGTATTTGGCAGTAAAAATGTTGTGAAAATTGATCTTGTTATAAAATTTAGCACCTTAGATTTGACATTAAGGCCACTTAGAGACTTCAGCAATCAGTAAGGCATAGAGGGAACAACTGAATTTCAAGGTAATGATTTGGAGGGCATGTAGTGAGAAATTGCAAGATGCTGCGAAACCTAATCTTTTAAGTTGGTCCTTTACTTGTCAGCTGTTTCTGTTCCAGGATACTCCACATTTACAAACAAATAAATAATATTTTTTCTCTGACATTGTTTTAAATCTGAGAGGAATATACCTCAATCTTTTAAGGTTACCCCAACTTCACAAAACAGCAGGGAAAGAAAAACCCAAATCATACAGAAAATGACAAAAAAGAATATAAAGTAATAATAAATAAATACAATAAGGTAATTATAACATATAAAGTTGGATGGTTATAACCAAATCTGCTAGTTTGACTTCAGAAATAAAGTACTATAAAATTAACTATTATGCACATGGAGAATAAAATAATTATCACAGTAGCAGCAGAAGGTGAAAAGTCTTATTTGTATTTGGTGCCCGTTAGAAGGTTGATTTTAATGACATGTGTTGTAGTCATGACACAATTCAGTAGAAGAATAAATATAATACTTTGTGGAAATGTGGAAAGTTCCTTGTTCAAGGCTTCCTTTGGTCTGTGAAGGACAGGCAGTAATACAGATGTAATGGAACTTCTCTGAGTTAAGCCTGAATCAGTCCTGACAGTGTGGGTTGTATAATTTCTGAAAAGTGTCATCTTCAGGCAAGAGTGGGGTCTGAGAAAGCAGATTGAAAGAATTTCACTTATTGGCACGTGTAACATACTTAGAAGGCTTTTTTTGTTTACCCTGGAACTGGGCTTTTACGGACAAGCTGGACTTCTTGCTCCATCTCATAAGCCTGGCTTCAGCCTAATCTATTTGCAGTGCACAGAACATTATATGGGTTTCCACACCTCCCTGATTTTAATCTGCATGGAATTCTTTCTGCTTTTCAACCCCTCTCTTTCTCTCCCTGCCCCCACCATGTCTACACCCACACACACACTCACACAATTAGCTGTGATGGGATCTATTCAACCCATCAGGTCCCTAAATCAAAATTCACATTACCATTCCTTAGCTGACACCTTAAAAAACAATGCTTAGTCCAGTCACCCTTTAATGTGGTAGTTACATACTGGCCTATCTCTTCTGCTAGATGGTAGGCCTGCCGAGGGCATTCCACGGTTTATTCTCATTTATTTTCTATATTGTTTTGCAAATAAGAGCTCAATTAAAAAAAATCAATTAAATGACTGACTTTTTTCAGCTAGATAGCTAGTTCTGAAGAGTTGTGAAATCCCTGCCAGAAGTTGGACAGACTTAAGAAATACCAGGAGGCTTTGACATCACGGCATCAGTTCTGACTAGACTCCTGTACTGACACTGGGATGGGAGTCCAGAGGAGGCAGGTGGTGCCACATGCTTCTAAGCTAACCTCTACTCAGTTTCCTTGGCTTTTCAGACTTTGTTGTTCAGATTTGTTTGAATCTCGTGAAGATCTTTGAGACACATTTAGATGAGGTGCTTTTCTCATTACCTATGTTGAGCTCTGCATTCTTGTAAGACACGGCTTGCTCCACCTGGGTCAACATTGCTGTAGATATTTTAAAAAAGGCATCTACACAAATACTGTCTAGTTACTAATAGGGAAAATAAAGTATATGTGTAGTAGTGATTACTGGTGAAGGGGAAAAAAGCAGACACATTTAGGAAGGAGGGGGCTAAAAAACATTAATTCCTGATATACATTGGAGACAAGTTTTTTGGTTGTTCTGCTAGCTATTCTGTTGAATCAGCATGAATTCTTATTCAATTTGGCAAATGTTTTAAATGAGGTACATTTTGAAAAAGATGTCAAATACTGTATTTCACTAAAATTAATTTTCAGCATTTATTTTTGGTAAAGACATTTACTATTAAAGCTATTGTTGTGTATATGTGTAATTAATGTTAGTTACTATTTCTTAAAAAAGTCTTCAACTTAATAAATTCCTCTAGTATTTCACATAAAAACAATATTAGATAATCATAGGCAATTATCTAAAAATAAAAATGCATTAATCCTATTGTCAAATACTATATTTCATTAAAAAATTAATGTTCAGCATTTATTTTTGTTAAAGACATTTACTGTTAAAGCTATTGTTATGTATATGTAATAAATGTTAGTTACGATTTCTTATTTTTAAAAAGTCTTCAAATGGATAAATTCCTCTAGCATTTCACATAAAAACAATATTAGATAATCATAGGCAATTATAAAAATAAAAATGCATTAATCCCATTAGCCAGTCACTTTCATTATTATGACTGAAGAATTATATATATATATGAGATAATATCATTAATGTGTAGTTTAAAAATAATACTTATAAAGTAAGCACATATAAGGTACACAGATTAGAAAACAAAACAAGTCTGAATGTCCCCCATGCATCTTTGTCCAATCATATCCCCGATTATTCTCTTAAGATATATTGTCTTGAACTGAATTATAATTATCACCTTGCTTTTCTGTTATTGTATATATGTAACTCTTAATTATTTTGTTTAGTTTGTTTCTTTTTAAACTTTAAAAAGAAGAGACTCATACTAGGCATCTTTTAGGTTTTAAGGTTTATTCATATTGATGCATGTAGCATAGCTTCTGCATTTGCACAGATGAAAATACCAGAATTAAAAAAAAAAACATTTGGTTGTATATACACATTTGGATAGTTTTTTTGTTTTGTTTTGTTTTGCTTTTATGAACAAAACTTCCATGAGCATTCTTGTGCTTGTTTCTTGGTGCTAGTTCACAAAGAATGAGAATGTTCAACCCTTGAGATAAATTGTTCTTCTATATACTAAATTACCTAGTATATTATTATTATTATTATTACTGTCCTTAGATCGCCATGTTTTGCCACCTAATCAAGTATAAAATCAAATTTTATTGTGGTTTTAATTAGCACTTTTATTACAAATGAAGTTTGTTATATTTTCATGAATGTATTGGCTGTTGCTACCTCCCCTTTTTGGAAATGCTTGCATAACTACTGCCTGTTTTTCTACTGTATTGCTTATTTTTGCATTTATTTGTAAGATTTCTTTATATATTCTAGATACTAATATTTGCCCTTTATATATTTTTTAAAAATTATTCACTGATTTGTGATTCTACCTTTTCACTTTCTTTATGATGTTTAGCAAAGACATTATTTAAATGTGGTAGAATATTTAAGTTTTTTTTATAGACTATGATTTTTCTGTCTTCTTTAAGAAATTATTTTCTATTCCAAGGTCATAAAAGTCTTCTCCTGTGTTATCTATTTGGAATGATACTGTTATCCCTCCAGATTAATTCAGCAGGAACAGATTTTACACATGGTGTGTGAAGGCATTTAGGTTTTATTTTTCCCCCGTCGTGGATTACCAATTTTATCAGTGCAATGTATTTATTCTATTCTTTCACCCATAAATGGGCAAAACGATCTTTTACATATCAGGTTTATAGATGCGCAGATCAGATTCCAAGTTCACTGGATCTGTTTTTCTTTCTATAGGCCAATATAATACCAACTCAATTTTGGTAGCTTTTTAATTGAATCTTGGCACTGATCACACAGGATGTCTTGGTTCATTTTTCTCCTCAGGACCATCTTCGCTTCTCTTGTTCTTGTTTTTCTGCATAAAAATAAAATTGATACATTATTTTGGGAAGAATCAACATCTTTATGATATCAAGTTATTGTCTTGTACATGGCCTATATCTCTATTTACTTAGCTCTTCTTTAATTACCGTCAATAAAGTTTAATATATTTCTACATATCTTTCACATCTTTTAGGCCTAGGTTTCTTATATTTTAGTTACTTTAATACCTAATAACTTAAAAAAAAATTGTTATTCTGTTTAAATTTATTATATACAAACTTATATTTTAGATATTCATATCACATCCAAAAATTTTCTTATATTATAAATTTTTACATCCAGAAATATTTTAAAAATTTATATATTCTAACAATCTGAAGATTCTTTGGGTTTATAATTTTGGATTCACATGCATTATTTTAACATATACAATCTACCAGTTTTTTAACTGCCTCTTGAATAACATAGGGAACTAAGATTGCTTTAATTTTAATGTCTCTCTCAAATTATATACTGTTATTCAGTAATTTTTCAATTTATTCCTGAATTAAGATACTGAATTTATTGTTTTGTATGCCATTATGGCTCTAGATTTACCCATTTTTCTCTATTTTCTTATTTCATCATGTCTTCTTGTAAACCTTCTTTGGATAAATTTTCTTCTGCCTAAAGTACATTATGTAGAAGTTCATGTTGTCTGTCAGTCTGTTAATAGTACGTCTCTCAGTTTTTGTTTGCCCAACATATTTTTATTTTGCCTTGTTACTAAAAGATACTGGTTATATAATTCTATGTCATTAAATATTTTCTCTCATTATATTGATGATATTCCACTTGATCCTATCATTGCCATTAAGAAATTAGCAAAAGCAATAGAAACTTTTGTGAAGAAGTAGCTACAGTGCATCGCATCCACAGAGAGGAATGAAAGCCTTGAACAAATACATCACCTGCAACCGAAACATCCAGGTACTCACATCGAGACTGATCGGGAAAACAACTTGACCCATGGAGTAATATGTGTAATATGAATAATATGAGAAGGACCATTTATCTCAAACATATTATACATATTACTCCATGGGTCAAGAAAAGCAGGGCAGGGCGATGGCCCACCCAGGAGCAACATGGAGCCAAGGAAACCCTCATCCCCAGCCAAGGGAAGTAGTGAGTGAATGTGTAAACCCTGGGAAACCAAGCTTCTCCCATGGATCTTTGCAGCCCTCAGATCAGGAGATCTTCTCATGAACCCACTACACCAGGGCCTTGGATCCAACACACAGAGCTATGTGGAGTCTCAGCAGAGCAGTTGCTCAGGCACACCCAGAGACCAAGGACCTTTATATACTCTGGTCCCAGGATCCCCTGCAAAGGTGACTGCAACTCAGGCAAGACAGGAGGTCCATAATACCTCTTTGAAGGGGGCTGACTCCAGGGGGCTGAACAACCTCAGTCTGCAGGCCCCACATCCATGGCACCTCACAAGATGAGACCCACTGGCTTGGAGTTTCAGCTAGCCACTGGCAACAGGGTAGCAACCACCTGAGACTGGACCAAACTCCTGGAGCAGGGAGGGGTGGGCAGCCATCTTTGCTATTGGAAGGATTCAGCCGAACAGCCTGCAGGCTTGGGAGAGTCCACATGGTCTGGGGAAGGAAGGATCCCTCCTCCCCCAACACAGCACAGCTGTTTTACCAAAATGTTGCTAGACTGCTTCTTTAAGTGGGACCCCAATCAGTTCCTCCTCATTGAAGAGGACCTCCCAACTGGGGCCTCCAGCCACCCTTGCCCAAATTCTATGGACAGAGTTCTTATTTCTCCTTGGGACCTCTAAGTGGGACCCTGATTCATTCCTTCTCACTGGACAGGATCTCACAACTGGGGCCTACAGCCACCTTTGCTGACAGAGTTCTTATTTGTTTTTGAGATAGAGTGCCTGGTAGGAAGGGGCAGATTGCCACCTTTGCTGTTTAGGTGACTTTGTCATTCTAGCCAGTGGGCTTTAGAGAGTCCAAGACGATGGGGTTGAAGGCAATTCCCCAGCATGGGATGGCTGCTTTACTGAGGTGTGGCCAGACTGCTTTAAATGAGACCTTATTCCATGTTTCCTCCCTGGACGGGTCGTCCCAGCCACATCCATTCAAGTTCTGCCTCCTACAGAGTTCTAATTTCTCGCTAGATAGAGTACCTTTGCTGTTTGGGCATCTCTGCTGGTCCAGCCTGCAAGCCTTGGAGAGCCCAAACTGACCAGGACTGACAGGATCCCCCAGCATAGCACAGCTGCTCTGCCAGAACCCTGCCAGATTGCTTCTTTAAGCTGATCGCTGATCTCATTTCTCCTGATTGGGACCTCCCAACCCCAGCGGGGGTCTCCAACCATCTCCTACATGGTAGACAAAGAACCTCAATATATACACTTCTCAAAAGAAGACATACATGCAGCATCTGAGTCACGGCACCAAAAAAAAAAAAAAAAAAAAAAAGCTCAACACCACTGATCATTAGAGAAATGCAAATCAAAACCATAATGAGATACCATTTCATACCATCTCACACCAGTCAGAATGGCTATTATTAAAAGGTCAAAAAAGAACAGAGGCAGGTGAGATTGTGGAGAAAAAGAATGCTTTTACACTGTTGGTGGGAGTGTAAATTAGCACAACCCTTGTTAAAGACAGTATGGTGATTACTCAAAGATGTAGGGACAAAATACCATTCAACCCAGCAATTCCATTACTGGGTATCTACCCAAAGGAATAGAAACCATTCTGTTTTAAAGACACATGCATGCATATGTCCACTGCAGCAGTATTCACAATAACAAAGATATGGAATCAACCTAAATGCCCATCAATGATAGACTGGATAAGGAAAATGTGGTACATATACATCATGGAGTACTCTGCAGCCATAAAAAGGAACAAGATCCTATCTTTTACAGGGACATGGATGCAGCTGGAGGCTATTATCCTTGGTAAACTAATGGAGGAACAGAAAACAAGACACTGAATACTCTCACTTATAAGTAGGAGCTAAATTATGTGAGCACATGGACACATGGAGGGAAACAACACACACTGGAGCTTATTGGGGGCAGAGGGTGGGAGGAGGAATAGGATCAGGAAAAATAACTAATGAATACTAGGTTTAATATATGGGGGATAAACTAATCTATACAACAAACCCCCATGGCGCACCTGCGCATGCACGCGCGTGCACACACACACACAAATTAACCATGAGTCTATCTCTTGTTGTGGGAAATTTGTGTGTCTCTGGTTGCTTTTAAAACTTCTTCATCTTTGATGTCCTACTGCTTTTACCATGCGGTGTCTGAGTGTGGATTTATTGTTACTTATTCTGCTTTGGATTTTAAGATTTACTAGATCTGTGAGTTAGCATTTTTTATCCATTTTAGAAGCTCTTGTAATTTTAAAAATTCTCTCTTCTCAATTCTTCTATTTTCTCATTTTCAAACATTGGTTATGATACATTGAACTTTCATACTCTGTTCTCTATGTCTCAGATAATGTCCTGTGTTCCTCTCATTTGCAGACTTCTGTGTAATCTCTCAGATCTTTCTTCCAATTTACTTATTTTAATATGATATTTAATTCCTTGTTATAATTATTATATCTGTAACTTCTAAAAGTTGTATATTCCAGTTCAAATTTTATTGCCTCATGCTTTTTCTGTTTAATTACCATTTTCTATTTATATACATATGTTAAATATACATATATCACTTCTGTCATTCTGATACACACACTTACATGTTTATGTTAATTTATATTCATGATGACTTATTCTCTCATGTGATCAGTGAAGTGCCAGCTGAGAATCCTTGGAACTCCTTTGAGGCCTAGGTTTAAAGTCCAAAGGCATTCACACTTACACCTCCCAGGCTTCTAGGAGCACTGACAAAGAGTCTGTTTAACCAACTGTTTTACTTGCAGGGATTTGTATCAATTAGTATTATGAATATATGCCTAAACCCCATATAAATGGGAGAAATTTTTTTTTCTGTTTGACTCAGAGATAAGAACCTTTTAGGAAAATATTTCCATTGTGTGTATCTGATAAACAATATGTTTCCTACTTACTCACTAATGTGTTACTTTAAAAGGGATTCTAACATTTTTGTGGGATTTTTTAATGTGATTTTTATCTTTATTGTGTAAATGTACATCTCCTGCCCCAAGTAGATGTAGCCTGCTAAAAATTAAACATTTGGCAGCATGGGAAAGTAGGACTCTGAGGAAACACTTGGAGTTGCTAACATACTTCTCAGAATCATACCTTCTAATCATTTGAGGCTCATGAGAAATTCCTTCATATCTGCCCACCTATATAATTTAAATATATGTATTTTAATATAGTACCTGTATAATTTTAATGGCATGTATTTTAATATAGTATTCTGTCCCTCATTTTTAAGTTTAACACAAAATAAAAAAGCTTCTGCTGAATTGCTTATCAATGGTGTTGCTGAGGATAACTTCTATGTGTTCCATATTTTCCAGTCTTTATCCATATCTAGACATAATTTTAAATGTATTAATTGCAATGTATAAATAACTATATAATAAGTTAGATGTTAAATAATTTATATTATTTGTATAGGTTTCTCAAGAATCTGGCCAATATACACCTGTTATGTACAAACTAGCTATTATATATTAATTGTAATGTTACTATCTCAGAGAAGATACATCTTTGAATATGAAAATTTGACTCAATTTTTTAATCATACTGATTTCCATAATTACAGGCAAAAAATAGCAGAAAGTTTGATTTCTTTATAGACATCAGTAAAAGTTAAGCAAAATTTCAACCTTTAAGAGAATTTGTATGGCCCTGGCTATGCTTGAAAATTGATGCAGTGAAACTACTGTTTGTAAAGTAAGAGACAGTCTCATTTATATTTCAGTAAATTAGTGTAAATACATGCCTTTTCACAAAATTTTGTTGTATGTCTTTACAAGGGTCAAAAAAATTTTCAGTTAAAAATTTAAATTATAGGGACGGTGT